CATCTGGCAACCCTACATGCCAACTCCAGTCCAGACAGGGTTATGCCCTGTATTTTCCTAGCACTTTGTCCAGTCTCATTATAAAGTATGGATCCTCCACCCTTTGGAGAAGAGTGCACAGCTTAACAAGTCTGCCCCTCACCCTGCCCCACCTCTGCCCTTCAGCCTCAATCTTTCATTTCTGGATTTCACCCCCACCATATTTAGGACCTCCAGGGCCACCCTACATAAATCCCATTCTCATACACTTAGCTAAAGCTAGCTCCTCCCCATTAAAAAAAAAAAAAAAATCTCCTCAGCCATTTGCCATAAAGTGATAAAAGAACCAAAAGTAGCCAAATGCCAATGCAATGCAGCTTTAAACTTACACGGTAGCTGGTTTGAGCCACGAGAAGAAGGAAATCACAAGAGCCGGCTTCTACAAGTTTGCTGTCGACTTACCCCTCCCGAAGCGCGCATCGTACCTGAAAATTCCCCACCTACCTCAGGGTCTGCTAGCCCGGCATCGAACAACCCCCTCACTCTCCGCAGCGTTACTGGCTCGCTGTTATCCATGTTCGCAGAAGTTTTAGCTGTTGCCCAACGCCATAAACAGTGCATTGTTATTACTGTAATCTCTTCCAGAGCTAAAGGATCTGACAGCCAGACATTATTCTTGTTTTAAATACAGGCGTTCAAAGGAGGGGGGCAGCAATTCTAACACCGTGTAGCTTGAAAGCTCTCGATGGCTGGAGCGGTGTCAGGAAGCAAAAAATAGGCTTAGCTGTGGACTGCAGGAGTCAGCAAATATTTTAAATTAGAACTGGGGCTCTATTTCCAACTGGAGAGCCCGGGAGTTTCTGTGCTTCACTGCACAGCCGCTTTATTTTAGGAGAAGGCCGATCAGAATCTGGAGGGTGGGGACGGTCTAGCATCATTCCAAGCTGAAAACTCCTTCTAAGAACGCTGTTTGTCCAAGTGCTACCCACACAGATCAGCACAGTCACCAGGATACTCCGGCAGCATTAGCAGTCAAAAGAGCATCTGACCATGGACTTAATGTAATATGAGCACAAGCCCTTTATTTGCCTGGGAGAGAGACAGCATGGCCCAGTGGGTACAGCACTAGGCTGGCAGCCGAAAGATCTGGATTCTGTCACTCTGCTAATCTACTAGGTGCCGCAGAGCAAGTTATTGCACCTCTTTGGGCGTCTGTTTTTCTTCCCACTCTTTAGTTGCTCTCTATTTAGTTTACATGCTCTTCAGGGCATACAGTGCCCAATGCAATGGGGTCCCGACCTGAGTTGGAGCCACCAAGCTATGGCACAGAGGGTACTTTTTTCAAAAGCCTCAGTGGGATTCTAGGTACAATTTTTGAAAGCACCCAGTTGACTTGAGCACCTAAATCCCGCTTTCTAAAGGGAGTTAGAAAAGCGCCATGGTCACATGGGCACTTTTAAAAGTTTTACCCCAGTACTTTTCCAGCCATGAGTCTCAAAGCCAGTTACAAAAAGGAAATCTAGTCTCATCAGCCCCATTTTACAGAAGGGGAAACGGAGGCATAGAAAAGGGAAGCAATTCCTCCACAGGAAGTGATTCACTCAAGGTCACAGTATCCACCTCTCCAGACCCCCCTGCTAGCCCCCACACAACACCCCTATCCACCTATACTACCTGAGGACTCCCTCACCCATGCGGTCTCCAGAAAATCACATGCACTGTGTTCAATAGAGCATGGCAAGAAAACATCCCTAAAGATGTTATACATACACAACACCACTGAGCCCTGCATGGCCCCTTTCTTCTGACCTACCTGTTTGCAAAGCACTTTGCTCCCATGGGAATACATTTCAGATTTTATGTAAAAAAATAAAATAAAAAACTCTTATGAAGCCAGAGCCCAACCGAAACATTCCCGTGGTCTGTGTAAAACAATTTATAGTAGCAAATTAATCACAAACCGTCCCCGGCACTGTTTACATCGCAGGCCTTGAAGCCTCACCAGCCTATCAGCTAAAGCTAAACTGTTTTTGTGAACTGCTATTGCTCAAGCAGAGAGAAGACGACAACGAAAAACCACCACAAATTGTGAAAAGCCAGGTGGGATTGATACAATCCTCTCTTTGGTTTAAAAGTCCAGGTCGTTCCTAGTTTCCCTCTTCCCCCCTCCCCCGGCTCATTCCTCCAAGCCCACCAAAAAGTAGGACTGGATAAACGTTGCTGTGCATTTCAATCCTCCTGCACCACTCAAATAAATGCTACAGAAGCCACTGCCACTGCATGAGAAAACCCTTGGCAATGAAAAAGGATCAGAACTGAGGGGGGAAAAAAAGCAGAATTGGGATGGAGAAGCAATTCAAATCAATGCTTTATACAGCACTGGTACTTCTGATGGTGGGAGCCAGAAGCTGTGGGAAAATTCTCTCTTCTTGGCACATTTGCTCACCATCTTAGCAACCAAGCAGACTCTTTGAAACGCCCAGGATGGGGCATGGTAGGGGCTTTCCCCTCCATTCTGCAGCCACTGAAGGGGTTTCCAAGAAAAGTTACACAAAGCTCTTTTGCCGAAGGGAGTTCCAGTTACCCTAGAAACCAACAACAATTTGGCCAGTCAGTCCCAGGAACAGACTGCACTGCTGCAAGAATGCCCAAATCAACATGTTGATTAACGACCTATGTTCTACATAAAACCACAAGGTCCAGTCCTGGGGTATGTCTAGGCATAAGGGAGCGGTCGACAAAGGCTTCCCCTGTTGACCGATCCGTGCCTTGACTCGCGCGCTGTGCCGACGATCAACTGAGCCAGCACAGCGTGGCGGCCATTTTTATTTTAATGAAGCCGGGGATATTTAAATCCCTGCTTCATTGACTATGTCAGGTAGCCTAGTTTACATGCCTCTGCCGGCAGAGGCATGTAGTCTAGACATACCCCTGAAGTCCTACAACTGGGACAGATTCTGCCCTTTTATAGGCATGTGAACCTAGCACTCCAGAGACACCAGCGTTCATTGCTTACGCAAGGTCATCAGCTTATTATATTTGTGAACACCAGGAATTGACACCAAGCAGTTCACCTGGCTCTAGGCTGTGTGTTTGCAGCTGAAAGCTCCCAGGAATGGACCCTGTGAAGTCAGTGGCGCTATAGCAGGTGAGCAAGCGCTTGCTGCACACCCAGTGCCAAAGGAAGAACTCTGCCAGCTCCCTGCCGCCATAAATCCAATAATCCAACCGATACGAAGAATGTATGCTCCTGCCACGGACAGAGCTAGCGCCAGGATTTGCAGGCTACCCACAGGGGGCGGTCAGTGGTTTCTTGCAGTCACGGATTTTTCACGGAGAATTAAACTACACAGGGGCCATGCTCTCTTAGAGTCATGCCCCTTGGGCCTGGGTCTCAGGTGCTGAGCACCTGCAGTGCTCCCTGACCTCAGCCAGAAGCGTGGGTGCTCAGCGCCTCTGGGAATCCGGCCCAAAGGGTCTGGCTCTCCTTTGCCACACAAGTTTTTTGTCCCCTCCAATTCAGTTGTGCCCAGAGATTTTACTCCGTCAAGCCACTAGGACAGGAATCCTTCTGGTGTTCTCAACCAAGGCTAACCCAGCGAGACTCTGCTCTCTCACCTAAGGGGCCCTACAGCCTCTGGGCCCCTGAACAAGGTGGGTCAGGGCCCCAGCTCCATGCCCCCTGAAGGGGAGGTGACTCAGGCAGAATAGGCAGGGATAGGGCAGGCAGCCTTCAGTACCAGCAGGACTGCAGCACACCCTCAGCCGTAAGAGCCAGGCAGTGATCTGGCAGTGATGTAAAGAACCCGGGGCTCCAGCTGTTGCCGTGGTAGCAGCAGCCAAGAGCCCCAAGGCCCTTTTGAATCAACAGGCTCCAGGGCAACTGTCCTGTCCATGGGCCTGTTCGCTTACTTCAATGAAACTCTACACCCAAGGAGCCAAATTCTCTGCTGGTATAAACTGGTGTAGCCCCACTGCCTTCCTTTGGAGCTGCACCAATTACACCACAGTATTTGACCCACGAAGCTCAGAAAAGCAGCTCCCAATTCACAGTGATGAGGCAGGCAGCAGAAGCCCTACAAAAACCAAGAGGAAATATCCCCACGAAATATCCACCAGCCCAAAAGGAGGATGTTGTAGGAGCCAAATGCAAAACTCCACCCTTGAATCCCACCCCTCTCCATTTACAGGCGAGACCCCCCCCACACACAGACCCGAGTCTGCCTTGCCAGATGCAATAGTGTAATGGTGCAATTAATGTAATAGAATCCAAAGTAACTTTCCTAGCCTGTATCAGGAACAGAGGGGCCTCCAGCCCTGTGCAGCCAGTGCGGTGCGGTACAGGTGGACGTCTGGCTTGTTGGGAGGATGATGCTTCTGAACTATACGAGGTGAACACGCTACATGGTGGTCCGATAGTGGAGGCATGTTTGAGAAAAACCGGTGTCTCATTCATAAATGAAGCAAGACATTAAGGTACCCAATCCATAGTAAGCAGCTCAACTACAGTTTGACCTCTCTGCCTTATAGCTGGGGGAAAATTCCCCATTAACCCTATCCAAAAGAGTGGGGGAAAGAGGGGCTCAGACAGGACAGAAGAACCTTTTCTTCCCATCAGCTGGCGATGGAAGAGGGCTTGGGTGCTTGCTGCCGCCCACGGAGCTGGAAACAAACAAAACACGCTGCAAAACCTGTTTGATCTCCTCTCATCCAGACCTGAAACGGGATGAGACCAGGTACGCTTGCCAACATGGGCTACATAAGTCCCTGTGCTTCTTAAAGAGCCAGAGTTATTATCGGTGTGGATTTCCTTTCCCCGCCCCCTTCAGATCAAGCACACTTCAAAGCCAAGTACCGCAGCTCAAATCCAGACAAAGTCATATTATTGTCTGAGCTGAATGATTTGTACAGTCCTTTATACTTTGCAAAAAGCCCCTTGCTTTATGTAACTTGAAGAGTTTGAATGACACCAGCTGGCAGTCAGAAATTCAGTGCAGAAGAGGCAGGTATCTGTCCCTTACCTGTACAACTTCTTTCTTTACATTGACGAGGTCTAACCAGTCATTGAATCGTGGGTAGCTGTTGAGCTCCACTGTCCTGTCATTCAGAGGCACACTCAGCTTACACTGCCGTTGTCTGTTGATGTATCGGACCAGTCTCACCTGTGGGGAATCAAGAAAGCAAATGGTTACAGTCTAAAGTCTTTGGGGAAGGGACTGAGGTTTTTTCCTCTAGCATAGTCAGGGGCCAGTCTATGTTGGGGACTTGTAGGTGCTACTGCATTTCAAATAAGCAAACCACCACTAACAGCTAACCAGGCAGTCTGGAAGTTGTCCCAGGGACGTTATTTCCTTTCGCTAAGCAGCACAGCACCAAAATGATTGTCTGTGATTTCACTACTGGGGGGAGGGAGGAGTGAGCAGGAGGGGCTCTAGCATAGTCAGGGGCCAGTCTATGTTGGGGACTTGTAGGTGCTACTGCATTTCAAATAAGCAAACCACCACTAACAGCTAACCAGGCAGTCTGGAAGTTGTCCCAGGGACGTTATTTCCTTTCGCTAAGCAGCACAGCACCAAAATGATTGTCTGTGATTTCACTACTGGGGGGAGGGAGGAGTGAGCAGGAGGGGTCCA